CAGCTAGTGAGGGTCTTCTGTTTGAGAATCGGTAAGGTGTACTGTAGAAATTAGAAGCACCCTGACTGTCCTGGAGGATAAATGGGACGATTTCTTCATATTACCTCTACGACACAATAAATGAATTCTACTGTGAAGACAACTGTTTTATGAATTGATATGGCTCCAAGCAAGGAATATGGATAAGTGATAAGCAAAGAAATGCAAAGTAATGTAAAATTTCTCGATTTGTTTTAGCTCAAAGTAAGGCATAATTCTTTCGCAAGCAGTCAACTAATTGCTTCCGCATGATTTATTTAACAAATGTTCCTGTTGTCACCAATCAAATGCTGCCTTTCTAATATGCTTCATATCATTTTGAAAGTCTTTCTCTCGTGGTCTCCCTGTTCATTCTAGCAGCAGTATCTCAGTTCTGATTCTTCTGTTTGTACAACCTTGAGTTATCTGGTGATTCCTTCAGTAAGGGGCACACGTGCCCACCTTGCCTTTTTAAATATTTTTGGTAATCCTATACATTATCCCAAATGAATTCAAAATTACTTTTTTTTCAAGTTTAACCTTTTTTTTAAGAAAATATTTTATTTAATATTTTTATTCTATGTGCATTGCCTGCATGTAGGTAAGTGCACCCATGTTGTGCAATGCCTGTGGAGGTCAGAAGAGGCTGTCAGACCCCCTGGAACTGGAGTTACGGACAGTTGTTGGCTGCCATGTGGGTGCTGGGATTCAAACGCGGGTCTTCTGCAAGAACAGTCAGTGTTCTTAACTGCTGAGCCATCTCTCCAGCCCCAAGTTTAATCTTCTTTTAAAATATATTTACAAATATAAAATTAGGCCTCTAACAGTGATAGGGATAGGTAAATTGCTGCCACCAAACAATTAAAACAAAACAAATGGGTTAACATCCTTTCTATTCTTCCACCCCTGCCCCTCCCACTTCTCCCTGACCTTCATCACAGACCCCCATCTAGAGGGTGATGAGGTGGATGAGAGGGAAGGATACATAAGCAATGGTAAGCACTGTGATAAGTACAGAGAGTAAGTGAGGTAGAGAGAAAAGGGGAGAGAAAAGTATTGGGATGGTTAGGGACTCAGAAAAACAAGACCCTGGGATGGGGTTGCTCAAGGGGCAGAAAACAATGAAGCCATCAGACTTCAAACAAAAACAAAAACAAAGGAAGAAAGTTGAAAAACTTAAAGCAAAGAGAAAGTAGCATTCCCACCCTCCACTCTGGTGCCTTGTACTGAACAGCCTTTGTTCCCTCCACCTCCACAAAAGAAACAAGGGAGGTTAAAGAAAAAGAAGCCCCATCCCCTATCCTAAGCCAGTTAGCAAAACAGCCTCCCCTTCAAAGAAAAGGCTCTAGGGAGAGGCTGGTTCAGCTGAGTCCTTTGCACCTTTCCATGAAACCCCAAGGCAGGCCCAACTCTCGCTCCTAGGGGCTCTCTGCTGCTCAGTCCCCTCTGGTCTGTTCTTCTTGGGTAGCTTTCTTTTATTTAAACAAAAAAGTTTCTTTTATTTAAACTAAAGTGGGTTTCTGTTGGATATAAGGGTCTGAGACAGGAAAGAGTGGCCCAGGAAGGATTAGGTTGGCAGCTCCAGCCCACTCCTCTTAAGTGTGGGGGCCTGAAGATGGCATGCGGTGCCACACGTGGTCAGGGACTTCCTCCTCGACAGATGTGTCTGAGGAACGGGGAGACTCATCCGAGTCCACGTGTGTCCCCAACCCCAGGCTCTTGCCTGTCTCAGGCGATGCCTAAGGAACCAGAGCATGTGACTACCCCAAAAAGCAAGCTAGTTTCATCCTGTTCTCACCTGTTCTTCTTAATCTCATCCTTTAACCGCATCAGCTCAGTGGCTGCTTTAGCTGTAGGTGCCCAGACCTTTACATCATGGGCTAGGCCACTGGTTGCCAGAATAGGGAGGTGAGGATGGGGCTCAGGACAATTTACCACATCTTCTTTGTTCCCCTCCAGGAACTGAATGATCTGGCAGGACAATCTTTTGGAGAAGAAGCTGTATCCCGTCACTACGTCACTACCGCTCACCACAAACTCACTCTTGGGGCCATAGAAATTGATGCCTTTTACTGTAGCATTATTTCGATGACTTTTGTAGCTCTTAATATACTGGGCCCCATCACAGTGAGAAGAGTTGAAATAGTAAATGTCTAACTGGCAAGGAGCTCTGTGTGGTAGTGGCTATACACAAGGCAGGTGGTGTTTGCTTTGGACTCACTATTCACCAAGTGATGAGGATAGAATTTCTTCAGAACTCCATTGTTCTCATTCTCATCAATTTTGCTCTGGTCGTAAGTCCCATTTCCACTGTGACAGTGCCGAGGCTGTTTCTCCTCCTCCTTAGCTTCTTCCTCTGAATGGTCATGAACTCGGTTTTCATCATTGATGGAATCATGACCAGTGTCCTCCATGTGGTCAGAGTCATGTTCTTCCCCTGAGCTCTCTGTATCTGTGCCTTGCCTTTCTGTGCTGGTGCAGTTGGGGACACTACCATCATCCCCAGTCAAGCCCAAACTCATGTCTGAGGCCTCTACTTCAATACCTTAGGATGTCTCCCTACCCTCTTCAGCTTTAAACATCTCAGGAACTGAAGTTAGGGACAGTTGTTAGCTGCCGTGAAGGTGCTGGGAATTGAACCCAGGTCCTCTGCAAGAGCAGCCAGTGCTCTTGACCACTGAGCCATCTCTCCAGCCCTAACTTGGGTTTCTTAGACTGCTCTTAGTCTTGGCTTTGGGGAACCTTATCACCTCACTTTCCTGATTCTCCTGTGGTTCTCACACTGCTCTCACCTTTCACAGATGAGTGCTGTGCAGACTCTCACTGGTCCTATTTGTAGTTCCTCCCGACTTTCAGTAACATCTCCGTGTTTTCAAGATCTAAAAACCAACTTGCAGTTATGAAACAAGGTCCTGCTGAAGCACAGAAATTGGTGTATTCTAAAAATTACAGTAAACACACATGAAATTTGCCTTAACTATTTTGAAATGCACAGTTCATAAATAACAACTTTTACTATGCATTTGATTATCACCTAAGCTTCATCAAGGTGATTCAAAGCCCCCATTTTTTTCAGTGTAAGGTCTTGTACATGGATGGCAAGTGCCTTCCCACTGAACTTCATCCCTGTCCATAAAAGTATCATTTTATAATTAACTCTAATTGTTTCTGTTTTTAATTTTGCATTGTATTTTTTATTTATAATACATTTACATATAATGAATAAATATAATTATATTTTTGCAGTAGGAAATTGCTGTGCAGCCCAGGCTGCCTGAAACTCAATATGTTCATCAGGCTGGCCTCAAACTTTTCCTGATCCTCCTGCCTCTGCCTCCACCTTCAAAACGCTGGGATAACAGGTGTGCACCACCACACCCAACTCCCATTCATTCTTTAAAACTTTAAAAAATTCTTTTGAGAATTACATACAATGTATTCTGATCACATTCACCCCTAGTTCTTTTCCTTAACACCTCCTGATTGCAGCTGCATCTCCCTGGCTCCCCAACATTGTGCACTCTCTTCCTTTCCCTCCCTCCCTTCCTTCCTAGTTTTTGTGGTAGGGGCTCCCCATAGGGCCAGCTGGCCTGGAACTCAATCTGTAGACCATGCTGGTACTGATCCCACAGAGGCCTGATTCTCTGCCTCCTGAGTGCAGAGATTAAAGGATGTGCCACCACACCTGGCTTTGTGTTTTCCTTTTGAAAAAAATTTAATAATCCATTGACTCCAATTTTTGGCCACCCACTGCAGTGTAGAGCCTACCAGGGTCCACACCCTTAGGAAACTGACTCTTCCTCCCCCAGAAACCATCAACTGTCCATAGCTCCTCAGTTAGGAGTGAGGCTTGTCGGTCCTTAGGCCCTGTTCCATGTTAGAAAGTTGACTGGCTTGATCTTGTGCAGCTCTTGTGCAGGCAACCACAGCTACTTTGAGTTTGTGACGCAGTGGTTCTGTCCCGTCTAGAAGACAGTTTTGCTCTGGTCCTCCCTAATCTCTGGCTCTTACAATCTTTCTGCCTCTTCTTCCATGATGGTCCCTAAGCCTTCGTGGGTGGTGTTGTGGGGGGATGAGATAGAGCATATCTATTTATTGTTAATCATTGGCCAGGTCCTATCTCTTCTGCCTGTTATGTCTCTGTTTCCACACTGCTCTTTCACCAATTCCAGGCCTCAGGCTAAAAGAGGCTCTTAGCCTCTTTTCTGTATTTTCTTCCTCTGCATGAGTTTTATGATGCCCCAGGTGCTAGATCTTATCAAGCCACGTTTCTGCTAAAATTCTGAGTGGTTTTCAGGAGATCACAGTTGAAAGTTCAGGCATCTAGCATCCAGGGCCTCATCAGCTACAGTCTCTTCTTGAGGCCAGTCTCTTTCCTTCCTTCCTTCACTAGTAGGTGACCCATTGAGGGAAGTGTCTGGACAGGTGAGGGACTAGCTGGAGAAGGAAGGGGCAACAGCTTTCAGCCAGAGAACAGAGATTTGGTCCTCATGTTACCAGATCCCTCACTTCTTTCCGTAAGAGAAATTACAAATCTGGATTTTCATGTGAAAATCTCCTGTTTTAAACTTTTTTTTTTTTTTTTTTAAAAAACACTTACTTGAAAAGCACCTTTGTTGTCCAGATCTAAGCCACAGGCTGTAAGGTTGATGATCCCTATTCTCTGTTAGTGGAGCTACCTTAGATTTTCTGTGCCTCTGCCTAGGGGGAGTCTTGCTTGCTTGGAAGAGGTTCACAGCATTATAGGCTAAGGAAATGTCAAAACAGACGCAAAAGAGTTTGGGGAGCTACCAATGCAGAAAGTTTACTACTTTGGAGGGATTTCACAGTTCATGTGAAAAGGCTGTAGATATAAAATTACTTGAGTACCGTAAATTCTATCATGGGAAGTTTTGCTAAACTGAAATTTTGTTAATAGTTTTGTTAAATACATATGTATAATATAATTAACATAATTTGGGGGGTGTATTTTACAGGTTAGATTTGTCAGGATGTCTACCATCCCGAAGCGCTTCGGGTTGAGCAGCAGAGGACAATCATACATGTTTAAAGAACTTGAGAAGATTCGCCAGGAGACCAGAAAGGATTATCTTCGATTCAAGCAGACACTGGCCACCAAGCAGGCTTTGGGTGAAAGCGCGGATGAAGACCTCGAGGACGAGGACGAGGAGGCCGGGCCGAAGGGCTCCGGGAAGAAAGAGCGCCTGCCTTCGGCATCCAGACCATCCTCCGAGCGGCCTGCAGGGAAGCCGCACGGCGCACGTGGCGCCCCGGGCCCCGCGGCCACTCTCGCGCAGCCCCCAGCCTTCCGCCCGCAGGACTTCTACCGGAGGACTTGGGCGTTCCCACGGCACGGGCCGCCGAAGAAGCCGCCAGCCATCGCCCAGCAGGCCGGCACCTCGAAGCCCGTGGTCCTGCTGCCGCAGCGCTGGCGCCGGCCGAGATCCAGAGCGAGCAGCCCGAGAACCCGGCTGTCCCGGAGGGTGATGGCCCCGGGCCCTCGGCGCGAAGCCCCGCTGCTCGACGTGGCCGGGGCCGGGCACAGGCAGGCCGGTTCCGACTCCAGCCCGGGCAGCGAGGCCGAGGGCAGCGGGTGGCAGCGCAGGTCGAGGATCCTGCCGGGGGCCAGAGTCCTGCGCGGCGGAGGCTTGTCTGCTCAAGCGCCGCAGGCCGCGCCCCTGCCGCCCACGCGCGTTCTCCCCAAGTCCATAGAGGACATCATCGCGTCCGTGCAGTCCGAGGCTCAGCTGGCCTCAGATCAGACCATCAAAGAGCTCGTACAGAGCGTCCTGGGCCAGAACTACGACGTCACAATGGAGGTACGTGAACCAGACAGCAGTAATGCATCTCCTGGGCATGCGAATTTGACAATACACAGGCATGGTTTTTGTATACGGATGGATGTACGATGTATATAAAACGTTTCGTTAGATGGTTCGGTCCGTACGATAACACAAAGCATAAGCTGTTGTTTGAAGTTCTTTGCATTTTATTTGAATTTTGAGTTTGAAGTTTTGAATTTTTCTTAAGGGAGTGTATTTTCTTTTCAAAGCAAAAGAAATGGAGAGGTTATTCAAAAAATAGATTCGAAGAACATCGCTGAAGGCCTGCATCACTAGTGACTTTCCCTTTCAGACACTGAGATTACTCAGTTTTGAGATGACAGGATAGGTATTTGATATGCAACACCGCACTCGGTTTCTGTTAGTTTAGTCTGATTAGTTGTGATCTATAGTAATAATCAATTTATATACTGAGAAAATTGCATATTAAGTTAAATTCGTAAGGACGATAATATTTTCAGCAATAACTATTCTCTTGAAACATTAAAATAATTTCTCAGGCTTTTCCAATAACAGGCACATAAGTACATAATTGTGTGCCAAGTGCTATGGATACACCACACACACATATACATACGTGTGTATGTATACTTTTTATGCATATTTTTGCATGTGTGCAGGTACAGGTGTGTATGTGGAGGCCTGAGGTTGAAGTCCAGACCTATCCTCTACCACTCTCTCCACCGTGTTCATTTTTTGCAGGGTCTCTCAGACAAACCCAGAGCTCATCAATATGGTGTCTTTCTAGCCAGCATGCTCTGGGGATCTCCTGTTTCTGTCTCGAGGTTAGAATTACAGCTGAGTTGCCATGTCCAACTGGCTAATTTACATAGGTTTCTGAACTCTGGTCCTTACAATTCTGTGGCAAACCCTTCAACCGCTGGGCCATCAGCCCAGCCCTGAAGGTGTATATGTATATGTATATGTATATGTATATGTATATGTATATGTATATGTATATATATTTGTTTTTATTTTTGTTTTTTTGAGACGGTCTCACTGTAGCCTCAGCTGGCCTGGAAATGGCAAGGGCAGACTGGCCCCAGTCTCACAGAGATCCACCTGCCTCTGTCTCCTGAGTATCTAAATTAGAGGCATGTGCCGCCACACCCCACCCTGAAGGTAGATTTTTGTACCAACAACCACATCAGGTAGGTATATATCAATAAAGTCCTGATCCTTTTTTTTTTTTTTTTTTTTTTTTTTTCGTAGGAACAATAGTAAGATTTTCCCTATAAAGTGGCTATTTTGTAGGAAATCTTATAGTCTAGCGAGGGTAAAAAATTGGCACAGCATTGTACAACTTATGTGGCAGAGCTGGGACTCCACCCCAGGCATATCTCAGATACTACTAGGTTGGAATGGTTCCCAGGAGGTCATTTATTGAATATATGTCCCTCATAGTAAGCAAAGCTACATAGGATCATATTTAAGGTATTTTGTTCATGGACTTTGCCCTGGAGAGGACACTCAAGCAAAGGGAACTTGAGTCTTACTTTTGGGAGAAGAGCGGTGGGGGAAGAAAGAGTAACAATGGGAATGATTGTAAGAAATGTGAAGACTGTTATTCTTGATTGCAGCTCTGACTCTTTTGTTAGTACATGAAACACTGCCTGTGGTCATGCTTGAATGTGTCAGGGAATCTAAAGCAACACACTGAACTGAATTATGATAAAAACAAAATGTCAAAATTTGTGAGCCCCAAAGTGATGATGAGGGGGAAATTTATAACACTATAATTGTATGTTAGGAAAGAGGTAAAGTATTAAGTCAATCATCTAGGATCCTACTTGTATTAGTTACTTTTGTATCATTATGACAAAATTCCAGACATAAGGGATCTGGGAAAAGACTTGTTTTGGCTTGTGGTTATCAGAGGGTTCAGCCCACAATCCTTGGCTCCATCGGTTCTGAGTCTGTGATGAGGCAGACCACCACAGCCAGAGCACAGAGGCTGGTGGCCCTGTGGCAGAAAGGAAGCGGATTATATGATTTCTGTTTTTAAGCCTATTTATGTAGTGTATTACATTTATTAAGTTCTATATACCAAACCAATTTGCATCTTAGAAATGTAACTGGCTCTGTTTCCCTGGGCTGCACAACGTGCCAGCCTCTTTCCTCTGAACTCAAAAGAACAATTATAAACATGATGAAAGAATTCAGTGAATTTCAAGAACACACAAAGAAATCAAAGAACTGAAGGAAGATAGGGATAAATTTCTGAATGAATTTAGAAAAGAGTTAGAAATATTGAAGACTATGTAGGCTGAAATAAAGAAGGAAGTGAAACAGTAAGCCAATTAGAAATGACAGGAGAAAGCCTCACCAATAGAATGAATGAAACAGAAAACAGAGTATCAAGACTGGAAGATAAAGTGGATGAACTAGACCACTCAAGCAAAGATTATGAAAAATTTCAGAAATCACAAGAATGGAATATGCAGGAATTGTGTGACACCATAAAAAGACCAAACTTACTAATCATAGGCATACAGGAAGGAGAAGAATCCCAAGATAAGGGCATGGACCATTCTTCAACAGAATCGTGTAAGAAAATTTCCCAAAATTAAAGAAAGACATGCCCATACAAATACAAGAAGCATATAGAACACCAAACAGACAGGACCAGAAAAGAAACTCTCCATAGCACATCATAGTAAAAACACTAAACGTACAAAACAAAAAGACAATACTGAAAGCTGCAAAAGAGAAACAACAAGTCACATGTAAAGAAAACCCATTAGGATTACAGCTGACTTTTCAGGGCAAACTATGAAAACCAGAAGAGCCTGGATCAAAGTATTCCCACTTTTAGATGACCACAGATGCCAACCCACAGTACTATACCCAGCCAAAATGTCTATTATAGTCAAAGGGGAAAGAAAAATCTTCCATGACATAAATAGGCTGAAGGAATTCATGTCCATAAAACCAGCCCTTCAGAGAGTTCTGGAAGCAATACAAAGAGCTGAAGAAAGGAATGACTATACCCAAGGGGTTGCAGAAAGAAATTCAATGAAGGTATAACTGCGGAAAAACACAGGTATATCAAGAATGTGAACAGAAATGAAAATGACAGGACTCAATACACATCTTTCATTAATAACTTTAAATGTCAATGGAATGAACTCCCCAGTCAAAAGACATAGACTAGGTGAATGGATTAAGACACAAAACCCATCTTTTTGTTATCTGCAAGAAACTCATCTTACTTTCAAGGATAGGCACTACCTTAAGGTGAAAGGATGAAGAAAATATACCAAGGGAATGGTACTAAGAAAAAAGCAGGCATTGCAATTCTAATACCTGATAAAATAGACTTTAAAACTAATCAGAAGAGATAAAGAGGGCCACTTCATTCTGATCAAAGGAACAATAAACCAAGAAGATATTACAATCATGAACATATATTCACCAAACTCTGGTGTAACCAATTTCCTAAAAAGAGTACTACAGGACTTTAAGACCCAGATTAATCCCAACTCATTAACAGCGGGGTACTTCAATACCCCACTGTCTCTATTAGATAGGTCAACAGGGCAGAGAGTTAACAGAGAGGCATCTGAATTAAAAAATACCATATATCAAATGGACTTAACAGACATCTCCCGAGTAGTCCACTCAAGCACCAAAGGACATACTTTCTACTCAGCACCCCATGGAACTTTCTCCAAAATCGAACATATACTGGGGCACAAAACAAACCTCAACAAATAAAAAAGAATGAAATAATTCCATGCATTCTATCAGACCACAATGCAATAAAGCTCACAATCAACGCCCAAAGAAGCCATAATCACCACATGAACACATGGAGATTAATCAACACACTCCTGATGATGAATGGGTCAAAAGTGAAATTAAGAAAGAGATAAAAGTATTCCTGGAACTAAATGAAAAGGACAATACAACACAACAGAACCTCTGGGACACACTGAAAGCTGTCATTAGAGGGAAGTTTATAGCTCTAAGTGCCTACATTAAAAAATTGGAAAGAACACAAATAAATGACTTAACATTGCAACTCAAGACACTTGAAAAGCAACAACAAATGAAACCCAAACCCAGCAGACAAGAAGAAATAACAAAAATCAGAGCAGAAATTAATGAAATCAAAACAACAACAACAAAAAACTACAAAGAATCATGGACTCCAAGAGCTGGTTCTTTGAAAAGATAAACAAGATTGAAAGACTACTAGCCCAGTTAACCAAAAGAGCACCTCCAAATCAACAAAATCAGAGATGAAAGGGGAAACATCACAACAGATGCCAAAAAAGATCCAGAACATTATAAGCGAATACTTTAGAAACCTATATGCTACTAAATTTGAAAACCTAAAAGAAATGGACAGGTATCTAAAGGCACAGGAACCACCAAAACTAAACCAAGAAGAGATTAACAGCTTAAGGAGACCCATAACACAAAAATAAATTGAAACAGTAATACAAAACCTCCCAAGTGAAAAAAGCCCAGGACCAGATGGATTGACAGCAGAATTCTATCAGCATTTAAAGAAGATCTACATCCAATACTACTTAATTTATTAAAAAAGATAAGACATGGAAGGAGAACTTCCAAATTCCTTCTATGAAGTCAGTATCACTCCAATACCAAAGCCAGGTAGAGATACAACCAAAAAGGAAACTATAGACCCATATCCTTAATGAACATATTGCAAAAATTCTCAACAAGATACTTGCAAACTGCATACAGACATCAAAAAGATTATCCACCATGATTGAGTCAGCTTTATTCCAGAGATGCAGGGATGGTTCAGTATATGTAAGTCAATAAACATCATAAATCATATAAATGGGTGCAAAGACAAGAACCACATGGTCATCTCAATAGATGCAGAGAAGGCCTTTGACAAAATTCAACATGGATTTATGTTCAAAATCCTAGAGGGAATTGGACTGGAGGGAACATATCTCAACGTAATTAAAGCCATGTGGATCAAACCCACAGCCAAC